TGTATAGGGTTGTAGCTAAGAAAATAGTATGGTAGTTGAGATTTTCTTTTTGCAACTGGATACATGTACTACTTACAATTGAACACCCATTGTCAGCTTTGAACTGCACTCTCATTTGATTACTCGGTTCATTATTCCCTGAACTGTACTCCACTCAGTCTAACTGCTATTACTTACGAAAGTAGGATTTAAAAAATGACACTGTTAAGCTCTTGTTAGTTGTATCAGGCTTCTATACTCCCTGAATTGTACTCCACTCAGTCTGTAACTGCTATTACTTATCAAACTAGGGTTTAAAAAATGCACTGTTGAGCTCTTGTTAGTGATCATGGTTCTACACTCCCTGGAGTTAGAGCACTACATGCACATGTACATGTCCTACAGCGTGCTAAATACATGTATGTCCAATAACATTACCATATGATTTTCCTTTTGTACAGTTTCACCAGAATTCACCAGTGTCACTGGTAATCAAACTGTTGTTGAAGGTGGCCCTGATATTACATTAGATTGTAATGCAACTGGTGAACCTAGTCCACCAAAACTCACCATCACCTGGACCAGAGTGCTTGATAATGGCAGTGACAGCGATCTGCTGTTTACTGGGCCGCGGTTTGTTCTTGACAACAACAGAAATTCCGCTGGGACATATCGCTGTACTGCAGACAATGGGATAGGAACTGCACCCAACCGCACCATTGTTGTGGATGTTACTTGTAAGTACATGTAATTTATATTTTTAAGTATACTTCTTTGTTTAGATCAGAAGTATGGATGTACATGAGGACTGTGTTGATGTGCAGAGTCATAATTTTTGTGTGTTATGCAAACTGTGCTCAAGTATTACAGAACTACATTGCTTTCTATTAATCCAAATATCGTGTGCAGTTCATGTACATGTAGTACATGTTACTCACATGTAACACTCTGTATTATCATTTTTGTTAATTTGTGTACAAGATGAAAATGTTCACGAACTGGGTGAATTGATTTTATTAACTCATACTTCCTTTTCCCTGCAATTCAACAGTGGTGAATATCTTGGTCAGTCCTCAGTTCAGAACATTATGTTTAGTGTTTTTTCTTTTTAATAAATATAACTACAGTAACTGTATTTTGCCTGTGATATAACCTTTATGAATGGTGCCTGGATTGATAATTAAATCCTGACCAATAGCATTGATTTAGCACTCATTGGTGTTACAAAATTAATGTTGTACAAGTATAAACATGAAATTTCAAGTGTTATTTAGTTTAGTTTTCAGATTGAGATTGGTCTAGAGGTACATAATTATACATTTGCAGCAACTGGCAGCTTTTTAAAAAATTCCTGTTACTTTTTGTGACTTACATGTATGTACAGTATTGCCTAAAAGTATTGACCTATTTTCCATGTTCTCGCCATGGGGCCTCCAGGCGTCATTGACGAGGTATTCCCACACTCAACCTCGTCTTTACGTAGGTAAAGCTGAGGACAGCATTCGTCCTGCCGCGGCAGCATTTGGACGAGGTATTACATCGGTAAAGAAGACGCCTCATGTTTGAATAGCATTTTATTTTCTGTTACTTCGCGACATAGCGTGCTTAAATGTTCAGTCTTAAATCGCTGCATTTTCATCGCTAAGAAGCATTCAATAAAGCCGATAATCTATGTTAGTTACAAGGTTGATAACACAAAGAAAATTTGGTAGCTACATTGTATGAACTTCACCTAAAATATCTGTAACTTGGTAAAATATAGTGGCACGTATGTCTCAGTTCTTAGACGTTGTGTTAAGCAATCCCTTTTGCTAAGAAGAATGTGACAGAGCATATGTGAAATCAGGGGTTCGCTGTATGATTTCATGTCCATGCATCATGCGAAAGACCGGGAAACGACTAAATGCAAAAGGTTGGAATGGTTCTGAAATTCACTTTGATGATGGAAAGAAACTTAGGTACAGTAATACATCTAAATTCAAATCTGATTTAGTTTGTTGCCATAATATCATCCGTACTTCTCTGTTTATGTGAGCTGCGCTTTGTAGCGTACAGTTAAAAAACCGGGTCAGCTCTGATCGCTGATTTTAATAAAAACGGCAATTGCTGTTTATGCCTTGTTCTTGTACAGTTGTCATTAAATCAGCGATCCGAGTTTTTCTGGTCCAAGTTTTGTCTCTGCTTCCTCGCAGCCGATCGAGATGTAAGCTTATTACATGTAAGGATAAACTGTTATTCGTGGAACCTGCTTCAAGTTCAAGGATTTTCTTAGGAGACCAAACCGTGAATAAGAGAAACCGTCATCGGCTTTTTTGCATCTACCTATTTAATAACAGCACTCCAAACGTAACATAACTTAGCACAAAGTGAAAGCAAGAACAGAACAGAACCCAAAAAACAAACCGCCAGTAATCGGAAACAGAAATCACAGCCAGGGCTCTCCCTTGTTTTCAGTACAACAGGTAAAAGAGCATTTTAAACCAGTAAAGCAATCAGGTAAATCGCAGCCTTGTTTATTAGGTCTGCTCTGTACATTACATGGAATTGAAATTTGCCCCATTCTTGTCTTTCCAAGACTGGTGTTTCATTCTCGAGTTGCAAAGCCACTTCATTGCCGATGTTGTCGTTTCCTAATAAAAACATTTTCTTTGAAAAGACCTCCATCTAATATGCCTTACAGTGTACTAATTTTACACCTTTGGCTTTAGATGTCAAATGAAATCAAACAGCATTGTCACTTTTAAGTGTTTTATTCTTTGTCTTAATTCTCTTGCCCTAAGGTCACAGAATACTTCCGGGGTATCCTCCCTGTCCTTACATGAAGTGTCACTACAAAATCAGCGGTCGTCTCTCAAAACCAAACGAAATCGCTGCATATTCGTT